CAAATATTTTTGCAAAATTTTTTTTCTTTTCTTTTTTTTTTTATTTACATATTTGACAGATATAGAGAGAGAAAGAGTGAGAGGGGGAACACAGGCAGGAGGAGTGGGAGAGGGAGAAAGCAGGCTTCCTGCCAAGGTGGCCAAGCTGGGTGCCTGATGTGGCGCTCGATCCCTGGATCCTGGGATCATGATCTGAGCCAAAGGCAGACACCTAACCAACTGAACCACCCAGATGCCCCTACAAAATTTAAAAAAAAAAAAAATGTTTAGCTGACAACATATTGTTGAGTCTTAATATTTGTTAACATCTAGTTGGAGAATCTCCTTATTTTGCAATGTGAATTTAACCTTTGCTTTAATTTTTTTTTAAGTTGTTTTGTTTTGTTTTGTTTTGTTTTAACATAGGGCTTGAACTCATGATCATAAGATTAAGATCTGAGCTGAGATCAGCAGTTGACATTTAACCGACTGAACCAACCAGGCACCCCACATTTATTGTAATTATGGTACTATTGAAAGCTTTTTATGCTCTTTCTGTGCTTCCTATATACTATATTTTCATTTCTTTTATTTTTCTTCTTTCCCATGTTCTACTTGATGAATCAATATTTTTTAATTCTGCCTTGAAAGTTAGTTACTCCATTTTTGTTCCTTCATGCTATCCTTAGCTCATACATGGTTTTGTTTTCGCATCCATTTCCATCACAGGACTTCTCTTCCCCTGGACTTTCCCGGCCCACCTCTTCCCAGTGACTTGCTTTTCCCTACACTAGGTATTGTGTATCACCCAGGGTTTTAAGTCCAAGTCATGAATACACACTTTTAGAGGTATGGGGTCATGGCTAGTTTAGATAAAATATACTTTTCTAAGTAATTTATTCACTCTTGGCATTGTTCTTCCCTTAATCATTCTTCCTTTTGTACCAACAATATCCATTAACATCTACTTATCATTTTTAATGCAAATCTGCATGAAGAACTCAACTGGTCCTCTAACTTCTTCTTCTTCTTCTTTTTTTTTTTTTAAGATTTTATTTATTTATTTGACAGAGAGAGAGAGAGAAAAAGAGGAAGAGAGAGCAAAAGCAGGGAGAGTGGCAGGCACAGGGAGAGGGAGAAACAGGCTCCACATTGAGCAGAGAGCCCTACCTGGAACTGGATTCTAGGACCCTGGTATCATGACCTGAGCCAAAGGTAGAGGCTTTACCAACAGAGCCACCCAGGTGCCCCTCAAGTCCTTAAAACCAGGGACTTTTGTGCTTTAAGTATTGTTATGTCACCCAAGATATCAAATGAAGTATATTAGATACTTGATAGATATTTTTCAGTTGATTCTTAGATGAATAAAGATCCATCAGGTCACTTGAACAGTCCTGACCCTTGACAGACATCATGGAACATTCATTGAACTTAAGAAAGTTAGATCGTAGGCACCTGGGTGGCTCAGTGGGTTAATCCTCTGCCTTCGGCTCAGGTCATGATCTTAGGGTCCTGGGATCTAGTCCCGCATCTGGCTCTCTACTCGGCAGGGAGCCTGCTTCCTCCTCTCTCTCTCTCTGCCTCTCTGCCTACTTGTGATCTCTGTCTGTCAAATAAATAAATAAAATCTTAAGAAAAAAGAAAAGAAAAGAAAAGAAAGTTGGATAGTGACAGGCCTTTGCCTTTAAATTATGTGCCTTTATTGCTTGTTTTCTGCATCTCTCAAACCAATTTGTTTCCTTTTTCCCTTTTGCAGTCAGCTCTCAATCAAGACACAAGGTTCCTTACAGCTCTTGCTTTCTAGCAAGTTAACTTGTTTTTCAGCAGGTTAACTTGTCATTTTAAGCCATTATAAAAAGAAAGAAAGGAAGAAAGAAAGAAAGAAAGAAAGAAAGAAAGAAAGAAAGAAAGAAAGAAAGAGGAAGGAAGGAAGGAAGGGAGGGAGGGAGGGAGGGAGAGAGAAAGGGTGATCTAAAAGAGTTTACAAAAAAATACCTGGAAAAATTTGACTTCAGCAGCTTCTACATCAACAAGATTTTCTTAGCATCTGCTGAAGATGTTTGATAAACAGTATCTCTATTGTGAGCTCAATTAATTTTTAATAAGAGAACAGGAAGTGTATAATGACTGAAATCTATGAAAGGGATGTGTGAGGCAAGCTATTCATTCCTGATTAAGAAAATAAGCAACAAGACTGAGGAGGCAAGAGGCCCTGCTTTCCCATGTTGAGTTTTTGATTAATTTGGAAATGTTCTGGGAAAGGCAGAAACAGCGAAAGGTCTTTTTATGTCAGCTTTTCGTCCTGTAAAATAACGCAGTATGCTTTCCTTATTCTAGAAAGGAAGCCCAGTGACCCAGTTATCCCCCAGGCACTCTACTCTTTCGCATCTTTCTTTAGTAACTAACATTCATGGAGTAATAGATTTTACTCACTGCTCCTACTTTCTCATCATGCACTTAAAATTTTTTTTGGAGGACTTCAGATTTGACCCTCATCATTCTAATCACATTTGTCTTTGCCATCAATAACAATGGCTCTTTATTCAATTACCTTAAAAATTTTTTTTTTTGTAGCGTTTGATACTGTTAAACAGATCTCAGCACTTTCTTTTGAGGTTGAGTGATACCGATTTTAATTTGCTATCTATGACCATCCCTTGAGTGGAAATCCTTCCAACAATCTCTAAATGAAGGCATTTCTAAAGGGTCTGTTCTTCTTTGTTTCCCTCTATATTTTCTCTTTCAGAAATGTTATCTTATTGTTTGAACCACTTTCTTTATGGCTTTTAATAGTGTATCCCCAGGTCTAAACCTTCCTTTTGTTTTTTACCTAAATTCCCCAAAATGTGAATATATTAAGATGAGATTTATCAATATTCCCTCCCATGTTTACTTCTCATCCTATGTTTTCTTCCTCCATTAATGTTTCCAGTATGATTCAATTTACCTAAGCTCTGAACTCATCTGCTCCCAGAGACTTCACATCCATTTTGTATTTAAGCAAATAAAGTACGGTAGACTTTGCCACCCTTAAAGTATGTCCTTTTAGCATAAGGATTATTTTGAACTAAAGGTACTTGAAAAAACAGTAGATAGTAGAAGGGCATTTTAATCTCCCTTTTTTTTCTTCCTGAAAACAGGAGTGTTCCCTGTACCAGGAAAAGAGAAACATCTTCAATGGGGAATTGAAGCCAAAGAATTTGGTATAAGCCACGTTAAGATAATTCTTTATCTGCCTTTAGCTTCCCTGCATAGTTTAGCTACCTTTTCGTAATTGCCTCTCCTTGTTCAACCTGGTATAAAAACATTTAGGTTTTGCCAATTCTCAGAGTCTTCATTTCATTATGAGGGATCCCATGTTACATAAATCTTACATTAAATACATTTGTATCCTTTTCTCCTGTTAATCTGTTTTATGCCTGTTTAATTCCCAAGCCCCGCTGAAAAAGGGTAAGAGGGTGAAGATAAAATTTTGCCTCCCCTATGGTATCAACCTCTACTGTTTCTACCCTCTACATCATTCCCCTTTGTCCCTAATCCTATTCTTTGTTTTGGAATATTATGAAGCCTTCTTAAATAACCTTCGTTCATTTGGCTGAAAGAATCTTTAAAGATTCATTTTCTTGCTCCTAAATCTTGAACAATTTCTTCCTGCCTATTAGATTATATCCACCATGCCTGGTTTAGTAATGAGGGCAACAGTTTGTCTTCAACTCTTTTGTACATGATTTTCTTTCTTGACACCCTTCTATGTTATGCACCCAGTTTTGCAACCAAGATACAGAACCAGCCCGTCCTCAAAATGCTTTCACGGTAGGGCTCAAAAAAAAAAAAAAAAAAAAAAATCTCCCCTGCTGGGAATCTTTTCTTTGCCCCTCTCCACTTAGATTTCTAAATAGTTCCCCGAACTAAAACGACATTATTTTATTTTCCTTTCATTTGGTCAGTACTTTATTCATGTGTATGCTTCACACTTAAGAACTACTCATAAAAGTCATGCATTTAAATTTAACAAGAAGGAGTTACTATCAGAGTAAGAGAATTTCCACTTCCTTACTTGAAGAGAAAGCAAATGGAGAGGCGTGGCCGCATTCCCCCATGAAGTAGGCTCGCCATCTAGCGACAGCTCCTCCACACTACAAACCTTGCCTGTGAGACCCGAGACTCTGAAGACCTACCTTCCAGTTTTCCTCAAGGAATATGTTAAACAGACGTTTTTTCCTCTGATATAACACAGAACCACAAGAAAAAGACTGCATAATGCTTACATTTTTATGTTGTTAAACGTTGAAAACCAATTAAGTTTGGGTCGATTCTACAGATAAGTTCAAAGAAACAGAAAGACGTGAAATGTTTGTGTTAACCTTAATCAGTGAGGCGGGTGGATCCACTGTGAAAGACGAGAAATTTAAAGGAATGCTTGTAAGCTTGGATAAATCTCTGATAAAGTGTAAGAAATTTCTCTTCTCCTGAGATAACACGTATAACATACCCAGTAGAGCACGCTCTGAATAAACTTTAGCAAAATGGCTCAAAGGAGGCATAAGCTTCGGAACCAGAGGATTTGTTTTCCCCACCTCCATAAATCGGAGCACAATACTCAAGCGCTCAAAATGACCATTTTGACATGTGGAAACATGGGGACAGCAATATCTTTTCTGTGAGTATTAAACATAGCATATACAAAATGCTTAGTCTCTAACAGGTACCCTATTTAAAAAATGGCGGTTTGTTTTTAATGATTATTTTCTTTTTTTACCTCTGATAATTTGTATAGAGATATATAGCTGTCTGTCAAGCCTAAAAACTGTTATTCCTAGGCCCTCAATTTATTTATCATAGTATAGACAGCATGTATTGAAAGAGATTACTTTCATTATGTGGTGACAGATAACATGCCTGCTTAGTAAAATATCTGACAAAAACAGTTACAAAATTATAAATTATCTACATAATTCATTAAAATTTGTATTGACTACTTTTTTCAAAGTGTTCAGAAAAAGTAAGTTGTCTGTACTTACAACTTTCCAGTTGCATTATACATGTTTGTACATCCATTGGAAAATTCTTGAGATCCATTGGACAAGAAAGCGTTAATGTCAACCTGAAAAAGTTCAAAGTAATTATTTTTAAAAGTAATTTATGATGTCATATTAATAATCTGTTGTTCATGGTACAACTGGGAAACAAGCTTTGGTTAGTGACTAACAACTTTTCAAATAAAATTTGCTCCAGCTTGGGTATGTTATTTACTGTGAAACAGCTGTACCTTTATATATAAATCTGTTTTTCAGGAAGGAGAAAAGCTGTATATTTAAGCATCCCATCACATTTATTTGTTTTGCTCAATCATTCACTCCTTTATAGAGGACTGTAAGTGTCTACAAAGTGTCTGTATTTCCAGAAAAGACCCTCACAAAGAAATTTGAGAGTGGGTTCCATGAAATTAATACAAAATGCCAAATGGCAGTATTCCCCAAGATCACATGTACAGCACGTTGGAGGAGGCAAGTGTATCCAGGGAATTGAAAAAGTGGGATACAAGAAACAATCCTGTGTGACAACTTTCAGTCATTTTTGAAACACTGATGAAGTTGTCAGTGAATAACCAGCAGTAATAGCAGAGGAAAAAAAACTTAAGTCTCGAGGACTTGAAAATTCTAGTCGTTAGACTGGGATCCTCTGCTCTAGGACTAGAACATTTCACCAGATTTTACCAGGGTCGAGCCCTCTAGAATCTGTGTGACATAATCCTGAGCTCACCAAACAAACTCTAATTTGACTCCCACAAAGGGGGATGACCTGGATGGTGTACACCAGTATTCTGCACATTTTCCCCTTCCAGAAAGTATTTATATGTTGACATTCCAGATAATTCATAACTTGTGAAAATATACATTTTTTTATTGGGAAAGATGATCTTGAAAGATTAGCAAGAATTTGTAGTTCTTGGACCTGAGAAAAAGAGGCCCAGTTCCAAACAAACCCAAGTTTATTCAAATAACATTCTTATGGGAGAACTCTCTAGCCATCCCCTCTGTTTAAAGTATTCCCATTGGGGGGCACCTGGGTGGCTCAGTGGGTTAAAGCCTCTGCCTTCAACTCAGGTCGTGATTCCAGGGTCCTGGGATCGAGCCCTGCGTCGGGCTCCCTGCTCAGTGGGGAGCCTGCTTCCTCCTCTCTCTCTGCCTTCCTCTGCCTACTTGCAGTTTCTGTCAAATAAATAAGTAAAATCTTAAAAAAAAAAAAAAGTTTAAAGTATTCCCATTGAAATTCAGCATATCAGTGAGCACCTGAGGTTTTTTTTTTTTTTTTTTTACCTAAACTAAAATGTGACCATAGATAAATTACTTCATTACTTCACTTCACTATATTTCAGGGTTCTCATCTCCAAAATGAAAGTAATCGTAGTGCTTGCTCTGAAGAAACATCGTGAGCAGTACATGAGTTAATAAACGTAAAGTGCTTAGGCAAGTATCTGACACATAGTAAACACTCAATAAATATTAGCCATTAAGGATTACTAGTATTCTGCCACTTCCAGACTCCTCCATCTTCCCCATCCCTGAGTTACATAGGAAGAGCACAAAAATGACTCAATTAGATCACATATAAAGTCGGGGTGCCCAGGGGGCTCAATTGGTTAAGCATTGGACTCTTAGGCTTTTGTTCATGTCATGTTCTCATGGATAGTGGGATCCAGCCCACTGAAGATTTTCTCTCCCTTGCACCTGCCCCCACTCATGCTCTCTCTCTCCCTCTCTCTCTAAAATGAATAAATAAATGTTTAATTTTTTTAAATCACATATCAAACCTCCTTAAGCTTAAACAAAAAATAATCAGCACTCTCAAATGTAACCACATTCTCCAAAATGGCATTTTCATGTAGACCATAAAGTTATAATAATGCATGTTCTACGGTGAATGCTCTTGGTGAGGCCCAATTAACATGATTTGAGATATATAAACAGACAGACATGTGAAGCCACTGAATTTTTTACAATCCCAGGAGGATCATTTGACAATTCCTTCAAGTCAGAGTCCATAACACACTAAAATAATTCATATGGTTCATTCTTAAAGAGCAATTTCTTGTGATTCAGCTAGGTTAAGTGATCCTGTGAGTATGATCCTGTAGATTTACGAAGTTCTCCTCTGGAAAAAGGCCACTATAAAATGAGGTGGACACAATGTTCTCTGTCTTGTGAAAGGGTTCATTAGAAGTGTATGCACAAGTATATTTTGAACATAGGCACATTAATTTTTCAAACATCCAAGGCTCTCAGGACAGCCAGTTTCAAATGTTGGCTTGAAGAATTAACTCTGTGACCTTTTGTATGGAAGCGAATAGCATTCTCAGAATCTTTTCCAAGCTCTCACCATGCATGTGATGTCAAATTCATATCCTGACTATTTTTTTGGCATAAAATGAGAGACATTACATAATTCTTTAAAAGAGAAAGGCTTGAAAGGAATTATTTGGCAAAGAAAATCACCGTTTGTAGAACTTCTGTCATAAATTATATCCTAAAAAACATCTGTTTATTGACATTCTTTCTTTTGTTTAAAGTGTTGTACAATTACCTCTTTAACAACATATGGGTGAAAAAATACTTGTCAATCTGATGGGTGTGAACTAAATTTCTTCATCAAAACATTATATATAAATTAAAGATATGCTCTGACCACATCAAAAGAAAACTAAATCAAAAGGCAATTAATCACATTCTACTGTTTTGGAAATGAGTATCTTCTTGTGTAAGCAAGGACACTAAGTTCTCTTTCTGAGACAAGACACATAAACAGGATATGGTGTTCTTTATTTTCTCTTAAAAAGTCTTGGCTTGGCTTAGTGAAGTAGTAATGTTAAAATAGATGACTATAATCTATGACAAACAGTTGACCTGATTAAAATGGAGGTATTGTCCATTTTTTTAAAAGATTTTGTTTATTTATTTGAGAGAGAGAGAGAGAGAGAGCACACTAGCAGGGGGAGAAGGAGGCAGAGGAAAGAGGAGAAGCTGGGGATGTAGAGATATGGTGCTGGATCCCAGGACTCTGGGATCAGGAACTGAGTGGAAGGCAGATGCTTAAATGAGTGAGCCATGCAGATTCCCCAGTATTGCCCATTTTTGAACAAGCAATGCCTAGAGTATGATGTCTGTCTCAATCATTAATTAAGTATATATATTTAAATAAAAAAAAACTTTTCTGACTCTATTTTTGCCTCTTTATGAAACTGAAAAAATATCTTTATTAGTTCCTAATATTTCTAAGTTTAATGCAATAAGAAAAATTACCTCTCTCTTCTTTTTTTAAAGATTCATTTATTTATCTGAGAGAGAGAGAGAGAAAGCACAAGTGAGAGGGGCGGAGAGAATCTCCCCCAGACCCTATGCTCAATGCAGAGCCCAACATAGGGCTCTATCCCATGGTCCTGGGATCATGACCTGGGTCAAAACCAGAACTGGTCAGTCAACCAACTCTGCCACCCAGGACCCTGAACAATGACCTCTTGATTAATTATCAGCTTTGCAATATTATCTGTAATATCATAATAGCGGTAATACACCCACTGAATTTACTATGTAGTAGACACTACTTAAATACTTTACAATTTCTCAACTTACTTCCCTACAACAAATTTACAAGACAGGTAAACAGTATTACCTTATTTTATAGATGAGGAAACTAAAAGGTCAACTCCAGTGGCATTACAAAAAAGAGATTAATAGGGCTGAATTTGCAAATCTGGGAGCCCAGCTCTGAATTCTACACCCTTAACCATTAAGTATACTGCCTTTCAAAGGCATTGAAACATTTTTCATGAGAATGGGCTTTTTAATGAAATGATTTTTCCAATTTTATATTTATATAACACAGGAAATGATGTATTTCATTCAGTAGTATTACATTTAAAGTAAAAGGTGCATAAATGATTCTTCCCCCAAAATCAGTGAAATGGAGTTAAACTTTAGAAAATATAAGGAGATTCCCCATGGATTTTATATATTTACTTGAGTAATATAAATATAAATTTATATTTACTTGAGTGATTTGGTATTTCATTATGATTCTATAAAGATCAAAAAACTCTCAGGAGAGATTAGATTGCGGGAGCACTAAAAGGGAGATTGTAACTAAAGTTGTAATCAGGAATTTTGTTGAAATCTGATTTTAGAGATGTTTTTAAAGCTTGTCAACCCATCACCACTGGAATCTTTGTGTTGTCAATGGATGGTTCCTTCAGGAAGCTGCTGTAAGCTAAGGACCTCTTCAGAAAACATGCATAATCACAGACATGCAAAATTCTCCTCACAACATCTATTTTGTGGTATTGTAAATTGATTGCCCTTGAATAAACAACACCTTAAAAAGCATCTGTTGATAAGTTTACTTTATCTATTAAAAATTTATGTTCCAAAAATAAATATACATTATATAAGTAAGTCTAAATTCTTTTCCAACTGAATTTCAAAGAAAGAGTGATTATATTTACTTTAAATAAAAGTTAAAATTGTGTTATGATCTTTGACAAGTTGCTGTGCATAGCATTTTTGATCTAAAATTTCTTCCTGTTATTTGATTTTTAATACACTAATCCTACTGTAATATAAGCAGTAAAGTTGGATGTGTGTTAGTATGTATTAGTAGTATTAGAAAGTAAGAAGTAGATAATACTTTTTAAAATATTTTATTTATGTATTTGACAGACAGAGATCACAAGTAGGCAGAGAGGCAGGCAGAGAGAGAGGGGGAAGCAGGCTCCCCGCCGAGCAGAGAGCCTGATGCGTTGCAGGGCTCCATCCCAGGACCCTAAGATCATGACCTGAGCTGAAGGCAGAGGCCTAACCTACTGAGTCACCCAGGAGCACCAATAGTAGATAATATTTAACTGCTTCCATTACCTCATGATGAGGATTTTGCCATCCCCCTTTTACAAGTGACAAAACAGAAACTTACTTTAATAACTTACAAGTGTCCATACAGTGCTACTTTATAGATTCTGGAAAATACCAGTACTTACACTTTTTTGTTGTTTTGTTTTGTTTTGTTTTTAGGGAAGACACAAATAACAACTTTACTTTCCGTTGTATGCCTGGCATTATGTTACATGCTTTACATACATTATTTCAGGCTCAAGGTAATTATTATCATGCATATAAGAAAAATGAGCCTTTCACCCACAAACTTGCCCCAAATCACAGCTGGTAAGTCATAGAGCCTGGATATAGTTTGGGAGAGACAGTCATCCATGGGTCTCTGTGCGTTTTGGTACACCTACCTCTTGCTGGGTGTACCAAGACTGTAAGGCCCAGACTATTCTTTTACCTGAGCCATTTTTCCGGGTTGTTTATACAGCTGCTAATTTTGAGAGGTGAGATAATGTTGCCCTTCTGGACAAAGAGGAGGCTTGCTTACTGCTTATAATAAAGGCAGTGGATTCCCCAAGCTCAGTGTTCCACAGCTGGGACACAGACACACAGTGTGTGTTACCCTGATCCAGTGTTCCAGTGAAACTTGAGGGCAAGGAAATTAGGTCAATTCACTGATGCTTGTGTTGCTTGTGGTAAATAATATATTCCTTTATTTCTGACCCAGAGTGTTGTGTCTTCTGTCAGAGTCCATAAAAAAAGTAATAAGCTAATTTTATAAGTAAGGTAAAAACAAATCCCAACTTGGAACATCTAGGAGTTAAGTGTCTGGCTCCAGAGACCTCCCTTGAAAAGGACTTTATTTAAAAATTTATCAGTACAATTCATGGATATCATTTAGAAGTTCAAACACAAAAAAAACTGAGAATAAACTCTGGAAGCAAACAAAACAAAACAAAACAAAAACTGAGACTAGAAGTTAAAACACTATAGAAAGCATTAAAAAAAAAAACACACACAAAAAAAAACCACACAGTGTATTTTTGCCCTCTCCATCCTACCCTCAGTTCAGTTGTAGCTCCCTAGTGGCAGCCTCTCTTTAGACACTTGTCAACGATTTATAGTCATATATCTCAATTACTATTATATTATGCTTGATTTTTTAAGTTTGTGAAATTGTCTATTATTTCTAACAAGGAAAAAATGTCTTTTATACCACACTTTGTGTACTTAATTCTCCCATAATACTCAAAAATTGGTTACATAAATATTTATGATTAAATTAATATTCAGTGTTTGCATGTTATGAATAATTAATTACTATTCATGGTTAAGCATAGTTGTTTGCTATAATTATGACTCTCATGTAACATTTTGTTTTCCTAGTACTAATAATTGTCTCATTTCAATAATCAACAAATTCCCTATCAGAGCTACAAATTCAACAAACCCTCTATCAGAGCTACAGTGTCCCTTTCAATAGTCATTGCAGCAGGCAAACTATCAATTCCTTGTTTTTCATGGAAATCTCTGTTTTTCCTCTTTTTTCTTTCTAATCAGATATTAAACTTCTGTACTGATGTGCTGATTTTCACATTCTTTCTCCTCTATTTCTTTGTATCTTGATTCTACTTTTTGGGAGATGTCTTTTGGGAGATGTCTTCACTTCATCTTCCAAATATTCTACTGATTCTTTTTCTCACATTGCTTTATTCTTTGCTCCTGTTATGCTCTGAATGATTCCTTTTATTCCTTTCTTATTTCATGCATGTAGTTATCTCATCTGTCCAGAGACTGTTTTTTTTAATGGTCTCTTCTGCTCTCCGTATTTTCTCGAGTCAATCCTTTTCTCTTTCTTTAATTTTCTCCTCTTTTCTCTTTATTTCCTCTGTGTGTTTCTTTTGGCCTCTGCTTTTTTCTTTCTTCTTTAAGATTTTATGTACTCATCTGAGAAAGAAAGAGTGACAGAGAGGGGGCAAGCAGGGGGAAAGGCAGAGGGAGAGAGAGAAGCAGACTTCCCGTTGAGCTGGGAGCCCAACATGAGGCTCAATCTCAGGACCCTGGGATCATGATCTGACCAGAAGGCAGATGCTTAACTATCTGAGCCACCCAGGCATTCCATGGCCTCTGCTTCTTTTTTGATGGTTACTATTATAGAATGTTCTCAAATGTCTGTTTTTATTTAAAAATAAGGTAAGAAAAACCATTTGGAGCTCAGTTAGTAGCAGATGGTTCACTGAGTAATGGGCTTAACAGTAGGATAATAACATGACCGTGCAGATTTTTTCTTAGTGGTTCCCCAATTGTCATATCTGTATATATTTGCCCAGAGGTACATTCTTCTGACTACTACTGCTCAATAGAAGAGGTTTAGGACTGGCTTTCAGCATTTTAGGGAGAACAAACATTTCACCATACAGTGTGCAAACATCACGTAATCTCCATTTTCTTAGTATAATGCCCCACGACAGATGTCAGCTGTGCCTGGAGTCTACTCTTGAAGCTCATGGTAGAACCTCCCCCAGGTTTTCCATCCTCTTTCTGCTCATTCCAGATGGCAAAAAAGTAGTTCCTAGTCTGAAGGACATGGACAAGAAACTCAGGAATAGAAAGCTCGGTCTTCTTTCTGCAGATTTTAAATCAATTCTTGTCCTTTTCTTTCTTATCTAGCTTCCATTTTCTGAAATCTTAGATACCTTAAATTTCTAAAAGTTTGAGGATATTATTTTCTTCCTTTTGGGGTCCCCTTCTGTAGCTCAGATTTCAGTTGTGCCTGTTAAGTCAGTTTTCACAATGCATTCATTTTCCAGTGTTCTAAAATATGTCATAATCGCTCAGCTGTCACTGTCGTTTTTCCCATTACTTTCATCCTCCTGTGTGTTAATGCCTTTTTTACTCCTTAATCGGTTTATTTCTTTATTTTAGGAGGTGTAGGAAGAAAATAGGAATAAATGGATAAGTTCAATCGATCAGGATTTCCAGGACAGTCTTTAAACAAGCAAGAAAGCCAGGTCTCTCATGAAACATCACAGATGTTCCATTTGTAAATTGAGTGAGTTTTTTTTTTTCTAGCACAACTTTTGTTAACAAAGAAACTGCAATTTGAAGATTTTAAAGTCCTATGAGATTTCTAAAAACAACTCACAAAAGTGAATTTATTCTGATTAAGTGAGCATGGTTGTAACAAACAAAAACAAGAAGCTAAGAGACATCTGTTTCATCTGAACTCATGCTGAAAGACAAAAGAGGCAATTCAGAATCATTTCATAACTTTTCTCAAAAATGTTGCCAAGATATGTAAGCAATTCTTAATGCACGGAACCATTTTCCAATCCAATAGGACTTGATATGAACAATGAAATATCCATAACCTACCTATAAACTAAATAAAGAAAATAAATTATGGAAGTTTTAAGATAATAATTTTATCTTAGAATATTTCTTAGGTGTGACACAAGTCATCAAATACATCCTTTCAACTGTTATTTATTGATTTTACACCTGTTTAATATTTAATAAACAGACAAAGTTGAATAAGCTCTCAAGTTCAACAGTCAAGAAATTTTAATATCAGTGTTTATATTTTGGTATGAATTAGTTATGTTTTTGTATTTTTAAAAGCTATTTAGTCTTCTGAGAAATGCATTATAAATAACTGAAATGTAAATAAGATTTTTACTAAAGAATGACCAGAGAACCCCAACGAGATCAAAAAAATATAAATATCTGAAAAATAATTTATGGAAAATGAATCCCAGACAAGTAAATCCAAATATTTCTTCACAAAACAAATATTTTAAAGAAGTAGGCATCTGTAAAAATATAATCACAGTGTATGAATAAGCTATCATTCAATTTGCCTTTAAACTGTCCACTAATTTTGCTGATATTAAGAGGCTGAGCCATTTGTTTTCTAAAAAGTGGATTTGGGGGCACCTGGGTGGCTCAGTCAGTAAGCTCTGCCTTTGGCTCTGGTCATGATCCCAGGGTCCTGGGATCAAGCTCTGCATCAGGCTCCTTGATCACTGGGAAGCCTGCTTCTCCTTCTCCCATTCCCCCTGCTTGTGTTCTCTCTCTTGCTGTGTCTCTCTCTGTCAAATAAATAAATAAAATCTTTAAAAAATAAAAAATAAAAAAATTTAAAAAGTGGATTTTCAAGAATTACTCATACAGTCTCTAGATCTGGAACTTGGGTCTGTTATTGGTGATTAGACATATTTGGGAAATGGCATATTAGAGGAACTCAAGAAGAACAATGATAGCACTTACTCAAAAATCTCAAAACATTCATTAAAAAAAAACAAAAAACAAAAACCCACAGTATTTCACTGGAATCAGGGATTTGTCTATGACTCACCTTATTGAATAAAGAACATTTCCATTCTTGAAAATTCGTAACAATTTATTGTCTGTAGTAACTTCATGAAAGTTGGCACCCTTTTCATTGGCAAAGAACAAGTCAGGTTTCCAAATGGAGTCTAGCATAGAGGGGTCTAGATCTAAAGAGTCATCAGGATATTCACTATACGCAAGGCGGGGATCATTCCATTTCTGACGAAGAAAGATATTCACTCTGTAATCCTATGATAAAAGAAAGAAAGAAAGAAAAAAAAACTGCTTTAAAAGTTCAGAATCTTATGTGCTATTCTTTGGGCACCTCTGAATTTTAGCAAAAGACACTGACATCCTTGTGAGCTTTCCATACCCCACAATCCTCACTCATTACTACTAACAAGAGTCATTTTAGTTACAAGGCTTTGCCCATGTTTTTAGTGATCTAAATGTCTCCAAAGAAGAGGCCACATAAAATATAAAATATTATGCTTATATTTTGCCATTCCATTCAAATTTTGCTTTCCTGGTTTGTCAGAATAAAATATTGGATTGCTATGAGACACTTGAAGTAAAATATTTTCATCTTTGCATTTATTTTCTAGAACCATTTCTTTCAGTAGATATCCAATAGCATTCAGAACGCATTTAGTGAAATTTTCTTGAAAGCTGTTTTATAAAAGTGATTATATATGCTTCTTTACAATGAAGATACATTTCCTCATGTTTAATATAGTAAGTTCCATGAAACAGGTGATTTGGAAAAAATAAAAGGTGATTTTGAAATAATGAAATAATAATAAAGAGACGTTATTGCCAGTAATCCTTTAAGAAGATTTGACTAAAGAGTTTTCCTGATTAGACTACTCATAGTTGACTTAAAGAGGGGAAGAGTCAAAGATTTCAATCAAATTCTTGCTCACGATTTCTGAGCTAATGTATAGAATGACATAGATTCATAGCCAGGTGTATGCGTGGGTTTTGTACGTATATGAACATAAGCACTAACTTTGACTTTATAAATACAATTTTCCCATTAGATTTTTGAAATGAGTGAAAAAATTAAACATTCAGACTTTGTTATAAGCGTGAATGAAGTGAACATTTGAGGAAGATTTCATTTCCATGGAAAATAGCCAAGGCTGGAGATATTCAGAGAAACTGAACACCAGTTTTCATATTTTTTTATTCCTTGAAAACCAAATTGCCAGTTAACAGAATATAATAACCAAGCAATCACAAAGAATGTTTCCATAATATCAGACCTGGTAGACTGCTTCTCTTGTAGGGAGGTCAAACTTGGAGTAGTAAATGTTACAAATCTATATGTTCTCTTGATTATGATTTATGCACGGAAACCCTTATCTTCTAACTGCAACTGAGTTTGCATACCAGATAATGTTTTTTTCTGCTTGCTAGGTGCCCCATGTATCTTCCAAAGTGACAATGAACAGAGTTCACTTCAGCTTTTTACCACAAAGTTCATGATAATGTGGAAATCCCACCAACCACAAGGATCTGCAGAACCTGTAAATGGGGATATATGAACAAGCTTCTACCAGCCAAAGACAGGTCACCCTCCCTTAGCCTAGAGTTCAGTTGGCCAAGAAGCATAGTTGGACAAGAAGCATGGTTGGTGACCAGCTCTTGTGTCGCTTGCTGCTCTGTAGTCTGTGTCTCAACCCTAATTTACTGCCAAAGGAATAGGTGATTGGACTAAAGGAGGTTTCTCTCTGCCTTAACCATAGGAGAAGATGAAAGCAACTCCAGTTATAATGATGCCTGCTAGGAAAAATAACTGACAAGTAAGGAATTTCCTTTGGACTGATTCTTAAGATATATATATATATATATTTGAGACAGTCCGCATGTGTTCCCCACTGTGAGGCTAAAATAAAAGTACTTTTAAGCTACAGTATATATAATAAAATTTAGTTGAATCTCCTTATCCTATGCGATTGGTTTAGCGATAAATTTTATAGACAGAATCTCAGATCTTCCAGGAAGAACTTTTGCTACAAGAATGCGCTTAAAAGACAAAGCAAAACAGAAAAACAACAACAACAACAAAAACACAAAAACAAAAACTACCCAGGGTTCCTTCCGTTTCTGTTTCTAAATCACACAAGGCAGAAATCAACTGTCACCTGTCATCAAGGCCAAATGTTACCCTATATCCACTGTGCTCTTTCTGTGAATAACCAGAAATATCTTTGTTTACTAACATACTTAGGCCTTTGGTTTAGGGCCAGGGTCCAAAACAAAACTGACAAAACAAAAATGACCATCTCCTGAAAACCTAGAAACTAAGGTTTTAACTGTTCTTGAAGTTTGGGTTTTCAATTGTCTGCAAATGACCATTGTTCTGGGAAACTACCCTATTAAACAACAAATTCAGCATTCTGAAATAAATTTTTAAAACTTAATCCTCATAGCTGGTGTATCCCATTTATACTAGGCAACCAACATAATTTGTGAATCCTGATCATTTGTGTAAATAGAGTAAATTAAATGGTAGTCAAATAATGCCACCTAAAAGAAATCCTTGTAACTTGATTTGGAATAACTTGCCTATACTAAAAGACCAGGAACTAAAGCAGGAAACAATTTTGCAAAATAGAGATAATGGATGTATATGCAGTACATGCAAAAAATTCTAAAACAGACTTACTAAAGTTGGTTTAAAATGTGATTATTCTTAAAATGCAAAACATACATAAAGTCTAATCATTTCATTGATGGAATTTTCCCTGTTCACCTGAGCTATGCCCTATAAGGGTGAAAATATAGAAAGGTTATAAGTGAGTAAAAAAAAGATAATAATAAATATGAGATAATATATATGAAAATGAAATAAACATTTATATTTCCATTTCTGAAATTTAGACATGTATTGAACTCATTCATAAGTCTCATAAAGCAACTGAATTGAATTTTATATGGAATCATAAAACATTAGGACAGAGACATTTAATGATTCTTTTCTCTACAAACTCCTTTTGCAGTAAGACCTTCAGAAGTTAATCTTACTTTTTCATCATTTTTTCATGTTTCATAATAAATAATATTTGTTGTATGTTATACTGTATTAATACCATCCCTATCTACTGCCAAAGAAATAGGTGGTTGGACTGAAGTCAGTTTCTCTCTGCCTTAATTATGGGAAAAGATGCTTTAATCAAATCCAGTTATAATGATGCCTGCTAAGAAAAATAACTGATAAGTTACATGTTAACTATATGTTATATATTTAGTGTATATGTTATACTATATTAGTATATTATTCATATAGTAAAGTAACAGTGATGAAATATAGTTATTATTTCATACTATAGAAAGACTAATTTTGACATTTCAGAAGTCTAAAATTATTGTTATTACTATAATAGAATGATACACCTTATTTTAATTAGTTTAAATTAATGTTTTAAGAAAATATTTTGTTGACAAAGTAAAGTTATGTATCATGTTTGGTTTTGAAAGTAAGTATCCATTAAAATCTAGTTCAAATTCCGGGGCGCCTGGGTGGCTCAGTGGTTAAAGCCTCTGCCTTCGGCTCAGGTCGTGATCTCAGGGTCCTGGGATTGAGTCCCACATCGGGCTCTCTGCTCAGCAGGGAGCCTGCCTCCTCCTCCTGTCTCTCTCTGCCTGCCTCTCTGCCTACTTGTGATCTCTCTGTCAAATAAATTAAAAAAATCTTTAAAAAAAAAATCTAGTTCAAATTCCATCTATACATGACATAGTAAGTAATATTTGAAATTTTACATTGTGAGGTACAAAAAATAATAATTCAGTTAGGCAAATTTTATAATGGTTCATATACTAGACTCAGTCTTCTGGGGTTCAAATCTCAGCTCTTGCAGTGAGATAGCTTTCTAATCTCCCTGTATCTTGTTTTTTCTTCCTTTAAATAGGGATAGTTATAATAGTGCTTCCTCTCGTGGAGGTGGCTGCAAGCATTGGATTGATCCACATGAGGTACTTAGAACCACACTCATTAAATATTAGCTTTTAGATCTTCAAAATCAAAATTCATATTAAATACAAATTTGGTTGTATTTTCTATTTATAAATTGGTTTTTGAAATAATAGGGGCATTTTGATATGCCATATAAGAATTTGGGTTAGATAATTGTAATGTTGAACCTAGTGAATAATATGGAAAATTTTCAAACCCATATGATAAGCTTATCATTAAGTTTTTGTATTAAATTTTGAATTTCAAAATTTATGTATTTCCTGTTTTTATTCAATGCCCATCCCCCCCCCATCTCTCTATATAATAGGTTTGTGTTCCAGGGCCCTTTTCTATAATGGTACATATTGTTGCTTACTTATCACTTTGTGCCGCATGTTATACTAGTTGCTTTGTGGATTCTTCCTGCTATCCTCATAGCAAATCTATGAAGTAGGTGTTATTATTTGTGCAGTTTTACAGATGTGGACTTTGGGACCAAGATAAGCCAAGTAACTTCAACATGATTACAAAGCTAATAGGAGGCACAGTTGTAATCCAGACCCATAAATTCTGGTTTCAGAGCTTTAAAGGATACATTGCCAGCATTATATACTGCCAGGTATGATTGTCTTGCATGCAAAACAACTGTTTTGTAAACTAATGCAAAGATTCTGGGTTTATGTAGTTTATGTTTGTGGGTTTTTTTGGTTGTTGTTATTGTTGATGTTGTTATTTGTTTTTTTTTTAAGGTATTTGGGGTTACTGATTAACATCCGTACTGATGGGAAATTACACACACCTTATGCCTAAATGTTATCCAGTTAAATCTAATAGATACCAAGTTGTCATTTCTCCATAATGAGTACCCTGGGGAAAGACCAAAGTTAGTAAAAATCACAGCTAGATGTAGCACCTAAAATAACATAGAATACAATATTCATCTTTGCCTCTATAGGGGAGTATAGGATTGCTAGAAACTAACTAAAATGACCAATTAGGGAAAAAATAGGGAAAAATCATCATTAAATGTTAATAAAAGTTGTTAAGTGTTTCTCTTCCCTCTGGTCTATAAGTTTGAAGTTCTCTAGTGTTTTCAGGTAATTTCCAATCCGCAGACTTCTCCCACTTCTCCTTCCTTTGCTCCCTGCCTTCTTACTTACTTCTGCCCTGTCCTTTCCTTGTTTCTTTGTATCTTTCTGTCTCTGTGCCTATCTTCCTCTTTCCTACTCCACCACTTCCCCATACATGTACACACACACACTGCCTCTGTAGGACTAGTGGCCACATTTCT